CAAAGGACATGAACAGAAATTTTTTAAAAGAAGACAGATAATGGCCAACAAACATATGAAAAAATGCTCAACATCTCTAATCATCAGGGAAATGCAAATCAAAAGTGCAATGAGATATCACTTATCTCCAGTAAGAATGGCCTTTATCAAAACGTCCCCAAAGAATAAATGTTGGAATGGATGCAGAAAGATAGGAACAGTCTTACACTGCTGTTGGGACTGAAACTAGTTCAATCTCTGTGGAAAGCATGTTCAGGAAAGAACACCAATGGTGTGCCCAAGCAAACTTTTGATAAGATTAGAATGGACAGAAGGATGTCAGCTGCTACTCAATATGGCTGCCACTCCTATCACAGAGTGCTTGGGCCTTGAGGGGAGAATGGTTTCAAGAAAGGGACTCACAGTGCTGGAGGCATCCAGTGTGTTGGCAAAACCCTAGACCACAAGAATGTCTGCCCAGCACTGCCTCAAGTTTCTGCTTCACACATTCTGGTGTAGTGCTCCTTGGTGCCTCAGGTATGGCTCACATGGGCTGTGGTACAAATTGGGCCTCCCTTCCAGAAGGCGTGGGGGATAAACATTGGTGGCATCCATGTGGTACTAATGCTGAAGGCACACAGAGTTACAAGAGCTGTGGAGCATGGCTATCTGCACCTAGATGTCAAAGGATGTCAAGGATAGCCTCAGGGCCCAGAAAGACAACTGCTACAGGGGTGGGGCCACCACACGGCCACTTCTGGTAGAGCTGTGGGAGTGGGGCCACCCCAAGATGCCAGAACTGTAGAGCCACCAGTGTTCAATACAAGCCTGGAAGAGCCAAAAGATGCAAGACCACAACCTATAAGAGCTGCAGTGTGGAATGCACACAGCAAAGTCATGGGGGCTGGGCTTGGGCCAGGGCCTTGAGGCCCAACCCTTGCCTCAGTGTGTCTGGAAGGTGGGACATGGAGTCAAGAAGATTACTCTAAAGTCTCAATATTTAATGTTGTTTGCCTTGTTGGGTTTTGGACTAATATGGGACCTATTGCCTTTCTCTTTTCCTATCTCTTCCTTTTGGAATGAAATGTTTGTCCTATGCCTATTCTACTATTGTATTCCAGAAGGCACATAGATTGATTTCATGGGATCCAGCTGGAGAGGGAATTTGCCTCAAGACGGAAATTATATCTGAAGACTCCACCCATATCTTAAATTTCAATACTTAGATGAAACTATGGTTTAGACTCTTAAAAGTTAACCACTGAATAAATTAAGATTTTGGGGTATTGGGGTACAATTAATTTATCTCGTATATGAGAAGGACATGGATGTGTGGTTTAATGTTTGTATTCCTCTGAACATTCATGTTGAAACTAATCCCAAATACATTAGAATTAAAGGTGGCTCCTGAGGAGGTAATTAGGCCCCATGAGGCCTCTGTCTTGTTAATGGGTTAATGTCCTATAAAGAGGCTTCAGACACTGCCTGGCCCTTTTCCCCCTTCCTCCCATGTAGGACACCAGCGGTATCTTTGCCATCCCTCTGGAGGACACAGCAACAGAAGACCCTCTGGATACAGAGAGGACGTCCGCTTACCAGACATGAGACCTCCGTAGCGTCAGCCTAGCTCAACAGCACCTCCAAACCCTGGCCTCAAGATCCTGCTGTGCCTCAGCCTCCCGAGTAGCTGGGACTACAGGCATGCACCACCATGCCTGGCTAATTTTTTCTATATATATTAGTTGGCCAATTAATTTCTTTGTATTTATAGTAGAGACAGGGTCTCGCTCTTGCTCAGGCTCGTTTTGAACTCCTGGTTTCGACCTCGAGCAATCCGCCCGCCTCGGCCTCCCAGAGTGCTAGGATTACAGGCGTGAGCCACTGAGCCCAGCCAAAACACTACATAATTTTTAATATACTGAGGTTCTTATGAAAATAGAAACACTGAACATGGTAAACAGTCTATAAGTGGTAGCTTACAACTAATGCCCCAGTAGGGAAGATATAAACATTCCTTTCACTGATTAATTAATAAATACCTATCAAGCAACTCCATGTGCGGAGTAGTGATGCTGGGGGTGGGAGTGTATGCAGTGGGTAGGCTACAAGACAGGACTCCTAGTGCCTACAAATTTGCTTAGATGGAAGCCAAGTATGGTTGGGCCCATGATTGTGAAGGGCTCTTACATAGTGCCCCTCCCTGCTGCCGTGTTTCCTTGTCAGGGATGCCCTGCTGGTAATCCAGTGGAACATTCGGGCCTTCATGGGGGTCAAGAATTGGCCCTGGATGAAGCTCTACTTCAAGATCAAGCCGCTGCTAAAGAGCGCAGAGACGGAGAAGGAGATGGCCAACATGAAGGAGGAATTCGGGCGCATCAAAGAGTCACTGGAGAAGTCTGAGGCTCGCCGCAAGGAACTGGAGGAGAAGATGGTGTCCCTGCTGCAGGAGAAGAACGACCTGCAGCTCCAAGTGCAGGCGGTGAGGCCATGTGATGATCTCTTCAGCTCTCTTCTCCCCTCCCCTGGATTATAGCCCATCTTACAACCAGGGACTCAGAATCTAGGAGTGTCCACTCTCTTTAAGATGCTGGGTCTCTCCTCTCTCTAATCATCAGCTTCCTCCCTGTCCTCTTCTTCCAGGAACAAGACAACCTCAACGATGCTGAGGAGCGCTGCGACCAGCTCATCAAGAATAAGATCCAGCTGGAGGCCAAGGTGAAGGAGATGACCGAGAGGCTGGAGGACGAGGAGGAGATGAACGCTGAGCTCACTGCCAAGAAGCGCAAGCTGGAAGATGAGTGCTCTGAGCTCAAAAAGGACATTGATGACCTGGAGCTGACACTGGCCAAGGTGGAGAAGGAGAAACATGCAACAGAGAACAAGGTGAGGGCAGCTGCCTCTGGCTCCAGCCCAGGTCTCCCCTGGATTCCCAGACCAGAGTGTGGTCCTGGTTCTGACATGAAGGTCTCCAGGATGATGACCTTTGATCCTAAAGGGGGTGGGGCTCTTGGTTGCAGGTGAAGAACCTGACAGAGGAGATGGCTGGGCTGGACGAGATCATCGCCAAGCTGACCAAGGAGAAGAAAGCTCTGCAAGAGGCCCACCAACAGGCCCTGGATGACCTTCAGGCTGAAGAGGACAAAGTCAACAGCCTGACGAAGTCTAAGGTCAAACTGGAGCAGCAGGTGGATGATGTGAGTAGTAAGAACCATGCTTCCTCTCTCAAGGTTTTGCAGGCAACATCATTGGTCCTGATCTCTAGAACTAACTTCTTTGCCCCCTGGAGCTTTTTTGCTCTCTTCAGTTTCTCACTAGGCTGAGTCTCTGAGTCATTTGCAGTCGCAGGATTTCTCTGCTGGTTTGACTTCCAATCCCACTGGACTTCAAGTTAAGAAGGGAGCAGAAGAGCGTGCACTGTGGATTCCATGTTTTCCACACTTTGCTCATTTTCTTTTCTCCACCAGCTGGAGGGGTCCCTGGAGCAGGAGAAGAAGGTGCGCATGGACCTGGAGCGAGCAAAGAGGAAGCTGGAGGGTGACCTGAAGTTGACCCAGGAGAGCATCATGGACCTCGAGAATGACAAGCTGCAGCTGGAAGAAAAGCTCAAGAAGTAGGAGTCCGTGGTGGCCAGGAGGGGTTGGCCTGGTGGAGAGAGCCCCGGGTGCTGTGCCTCCAGTGGCCATGGTTGCCTTGGGCTCACTGGGAATGAGGGAACCATAGCCCTCCCCCTTCACTCTCTGGGCCAGGGGGAGGGAGCTGGTTCTGGCATGCTAAGGCAAAAGAAGGGAATGTGCCCAGAGGAAGAAGGACCACCTGTCACCCCAACCTCCACCCTTCTTTTCCAGGAAGGAGTTTGACATTAATCAGCAGAACAGTAAGATTGAAGATGAGCAAGCACTGGCCCTTCAGCTGCAGAAGAAACTGAAGGAAAACCAGGTGACTTTCTTCCCAAGGCAGCCAAGGAGGAACTCAATGGCGCTGAGGTGGCTGAGGCTATGGAGCTGCTCAGGGTTCTAGAGAGTATCTGGAACTCCAAGCACTCCCATAGACCCAACCACCCCCAATTCACAGGCTGCCAGGAACACCAGCCTTCTCCTAGTAGAGCTAGAAGGTGTTATTTTAGCAAAACTATTTGTGGGGGAGAAGTCATACCTACTGGAAGGGCTTCTCTTCCTGAAATATGCTTTGCCTCAGGGACTTTCTGCTCTAGGACAAGTGATGGGGCTCCATTCTCCTTTAACCCTCCCTTCTGCCCTCTGTGGGGAGTGGGGCGAAAAAGCCACCACCTTCCTATGGGCTGCTCTATTCATATCCTTCCTGTACTAACCCCAGCCACTAACCCGGGCTAAGTCCCCATAGGGCATCCAGGATGTGAATCAACTCCTACAACCTCGAGCAAGTCACTTACCCTCCCTGATCCTCAGATTCCCTTCTCATCTGTAAAATGGGACTGACAATACCTGCCTTACAGGACCAGAGGCAATGATGTATATGAAACCATTTTGTCAACTAGAAAATTCTATATAAATGGCATTTAGGTATTCTTTTGTCTTGCCCAAGGCCTTCTGATTCCTTCTACAGGACAAGATCAAATGCGCAGCCACAGTCTCCTTTACAATTAGTGTAACTCAAACGTTAATGTGCTTTTAGTCTCAGTTTTGTCATAGGAGCCCTGGAAGTAAGGCAAGTACTGTCATCCCCATTTTATAGCTGCAGAAGCTACACTGGACATAGTGACCCCAAGGGCAACAAGCACTCAGCTACTGGGGCAGAACTTTGTCCTCTCATTTTCTGGGCATACTGTGGCCAGTAGAAAGAGCTAGTCTCCCCTCAGTACTTGGAGCCCATGGCTCAGGCTGCTGGTAACATGAGAACACAGTTCTACTCCTCTGGGGCTGCTCAGGGCCTGCCTTCAATAATAATTTGCCCTCCTATCTTCTTGGATGTGCTCTCTGGGTTTTAGCTAGACTATTGGGTTATCCCAAGGTTCTTCTACCCTAGATCTGGGCAACTTCTTTGGCCTCTTGGACTCAGAACCACAGTGCTGCTATCTTTACCAGGTCTTGGCAATGGGCTGTGGCTCCTCCCTCTTGCTGCCCAAGGTGGCACACAAATCCCACCTTCTCCATCCTGGGAGCAGAGGCATGGTGGTTCTCTCTGTCCTGCTGCCAGGACCACCCAGGCACTGTCCATTAAAGCTGTCTATAACCCCAGATGAAAGGAGACCCACCAAATCTTCCCTTTGCCCTTGGCTAGCCAGACAACAGATCAAAATGGCAGATGGGACATTTTCCCAATTTAGTTAAGACCAAGGTTAAGGCCAGAAAAATGAGGTAGAGGCATGATAAAGAAGAGGGCACCCTGCTAGCACTCACCTGGAAGAGAGCAATAAAGCTGGAACTCAGCCCTGGTCATATATAAGGCAAGCCCTAGAGAATGAGAAATATGGTTAATTGAACTTTGTGGTTAACTCGGATAATTACAAAAGAACTGATTGTTTCAAGGTATATTGTTGCAAATATTTTAAAAATACAAGCACCTACTTTCCTATCTTATGGATAGCAGAGCAGAGCCTAGTGAATCTGTGCATGCTTTGAGATTCATGATTGTACAAGGTCTCAGGATCCTCCTCTGGACCCAGATTCTCGGGATTCAGGGCTACAGATGCTCAGCCTGGGTCTGGGAGGCCCTCAGGAAATGCCTTGAAGGTTCAGCTTCTACGAAATTCCTGTGGATGGCCTGTGTGTTATAGAATGTTGAGCAGCATCCCTGGCCTGTACCCCCATGAGATACCAGTAGCAACCCACCACCAAGTCATGACTATCAGAAATATTTCCAACTGTCAACTGTTCTCTGGGGCGCAGAATTGCCCCTAGTTGAGAACCACTGCTTGAAAGGAACCCGAGTGCTTGGGAGCCTATTAGGGCCCTGGGGTGGGGTTCTGGGGCAGGGGTGCAGGCGGTGGGTCTGAGCCCTCTGTGCCCGGCACAGGCGCGCATCGAGGAGCTGGAGGAGGAGCTGGAAGCCGAGCGCACCGCCAGGGCCAAGGTGGAGAAGCTGCGCTCAGACCTGTCCCGGGAGCTGGAGGAGATCAGCGAGCGGCTGGAGGAGGCGGGCGGGGCCACGTCCGTGCAGATCGAGATGAACAAGAAGCGCGAGGCCGAGTTCCAGAAGATGAGGCGGGACCTGGAGGAGGCCACGCTGCAGCACGAGGCCACGGCCGCGGCCCTGCGCAAGAAGCACGCGGACAGCGTGGCCGAGCTGGGCGAGCAGATCGACAACCTGCAGCGGGTGAAGCAGAAGCTGGAGAAGGAGAAGAGCGAGTTCAAGCTGGAGCTGGACGATGTCACCTCCAACATGGAGCAGATCATCAAGGCCAAGGTGGGCTCTGCTCAGCCTCCCCTCCTCCAACCCCCTCCACCTTTCTCCACTTTCTGTCCAGGTCTCCTCTCTTCCTTGGTGGTTCATTTTCCCACTTCCATTCCTCTACCTGGTCCTCTGATCCCCTCCTTCCTTCCACACCTTCCCTCTTCTTTCTCCTTTAATCGCACCCCTTAGACTCCCTTCAGTACCCCCTGCAGGCATCATCTAATTCTCTTTCCTCTCTCAGGCTAACCTGGAGAAGATGTGTCGGACCCTGGAAGACCAGATGAATGAGCACCGGAGCAAGGCTGAGGAGACCCAGCGATCCGTCAATGACCTCACCAGCCAGCGGGCCAAGCTGCAAACCGAGAACGGTGAGCCTAGAGCTGGTCTCCCTGGCGCCTGAGCTACCCCAGCCTGGGATGCGCGTGCGCGCGCACACACACACACACACACACACACACACACACTCACACACACAGTCTTTCCAGACAACAGGGCCTGACAGGAGGGAGGGCTTGGGTGCAGAAGGAGAGGCTGACCTTCAAGAGCTGAGCGTGCCTTGGTGCCTCCCCAGGTGAGCTGTCCCGGCAGCTGGATGAGAAGGAGGCGCTGATCTCCCAGCTGACCCGAGGCAAACTCACCTACACCCAGCAGCTGGAGGACCTCAAGAGGCAGCTCGAGGAGGAGGTTAAGGTGAGGCCTAGACTTGGCCACCTGGCCCAAGCAAGGAGCACACCAACTGGCCTTATGTCTACATCACTTGCTTTCTCCAGAATAAAGTTTGCTGTCTATCCATTATTGTACAAAAATTCCAAAAAGAAATAATATCCCAAACCCTACCACGTGCCTCCTAGATCTGTTCCCCAGGCTTCGGCCCTCTGACTCTCTGCTGCCGGCCCTGGGTGGGAGGCAGGGGTGAGGAGGAGGAGAGGAAATAAGCTGGGGAGGTGTGATATGGCCTTACATGGGCACAGGTATGGGATGTAGAGATGGCACAAATGGGTTCTGGAATCGAAAACTGGAGAAAGAAATTAAAGTGGACTCTGTTCTTAGCACTTTGCTGGACTCCTGGAAAAGGGGAAAGAATGAGTTTTTAAAAACACCAGGGCTCAATACTCACTCCTCTGAGCCTCAGAGCTCTCAGAATTTATGACCCCCCCCCCTAAAATGGTGATAATGATGATGATGATGATGCCTGCTGCGGCGGCGAGGAGCTGAGGGCTAAAGGCATAAAACGTGTGTAAACAGTTCCGCACTGTACCGGCATTCTCTGCTATGGGCACTCAGTAAACCATTCCAGTTCCACTGGGGGCTTGGACACAGGGGAGGCCAAGGGAGGCTGCTGAGACCGGGGTGAGAAGAAGGCAAGGGCTAGGGGTGCCTCGTGGAGAAAGCTGAGCACGCTCCCGGTGCCCGCCTCCCCCAGGCGAAGAACGCCCTGGCGCACGCGCTGCAGTCGGCCCGGCACGACTGTGACCTGCTGCGGGAGCAGTACGAGGAGGAGACGGAAGCCAAGGCCGAGCTGCAGCGCGTCCTGTCCAAGGCCAACTCGGAGGTGGCCCAGTGGAGGACCAAGTACGAGACAGATGCCATCCAGCGGACCGAGGAGCTTGAGGAGGCCAAGTGAGTTCCGGACAGCCCGCCTTCTGGCGAGGCCCTTTGCAGGCAGGACCCAGCCCAGCCCTGTCCTCAGTAGATGTCACACAGGGCCTGCTTAGCTGGTGTGTGACCACACCGGGGACTCTGCCCCAGCCCCCCTCCTTCTCCTCTCAGGGAAGCTTTTTGCTCGAATTATGTTTCTCATCCGAATATAAGACGAACAAAAGGTTTGTCTGAGGGCAGAGTGCTCTCGCCTGGGGCAGGGTGCTATGTGGCAGGGAGGTGGTGGGGAGGGCTGCAGAAGCCCAGGCCTCCTCCGCCTCTGCAGCTGAGAGGCTGGCCCAGAGTCCGAGGGTGCTGGGGGCTTCACGTCCTGCCACTGAGATGATCTCTCTGTGTTCTCAACCCCTGGGGCCCATCCTCGGCTTCTCCAACACTTCTTAGTTTTCAAGGATTGCCTTCTGGAAGGCTCATGTTGTTTCCTCTTGTCCACATCCACAACCCCTCCCTCACCCACCCTCCCCACCCTCCCGCCCGGGCAGGAAGAAGCTGGCGCAGCGGCTCCAGGACGCCGAGGAGGCTGTGGAGGCCGTCAACGCCAAGTGCTCGTCACTGGAGAAGACCAAGCACCGGCTGCAGAACGAGATTGAGGACCTCATGGTGGACGTGGAGCGCTCCAACGCCGCCGCTGCGGCCCTGGACAAGAAGCAGAGGAACTTCGACAAGGTGGGCCGTGGGTGGGGGCCGCAGCCAGTGTGCAGGGCTGGGGGGGGCCTCAGTGCAAGGCCAGAGCTGTCCTGCTTGGAGGCGGGGGAGGAACCTGATCCCTGGGGGGCAGGGGACAGGGTGGCCTGGGACAGCCCCTGGAGGTGGGGCTGAGGCTGGGGGCTGGGGGCTGCTGCACAGTGAGCCTCATCCTTGTCCCTGTCCCCGGGCAGATCCTGGCCGAGTGGAAGCAGAAGTATGAAGAGTCGCAGTCGGAGCTGGAGTCCTCGCAGAAGGAGGCGCGCTCCCTCAGCACGGAGCTCTTCAAGCTCAAGAACGCCTATGAGGAGTCCCTGGAGCACCTGGAGACCTTCAAGCGGGAGAACAAGAACCTTCAGGGTGCGCAGAGTGCACTGGTGGCAGCAGTCCCATGTGGTGCCACGCAGGGGCTCTAAGAGGTGTCTGGGCAGAGGCATGCCCCCTCCTCACTGGGCCACACGACCCCCCCAACGGAGTCACTCTGTCCCCCACACAGAGGAGATCTCCGACCTGACTGAGCAGCTGGGTTCTAGTGGCAAGACCATCCATGAGTTGGAGAAGGTCCGCAAACAGCTGGAGGCTGAGAAACTGGAGCTGCAGTCCGCCCTGGAGGAAGCCGAGGTGTGTGTGTGCAGAGTGAGGCGGGGGCAGGGGTGGAGGGAAGCTGAGCTCCAGGCCTGTGGTCCCTATTCCCTCTCCCCTTTGTCGGTTCTGTTCACTGTCCCGTCCCCAGAGCTTAGGCCAGAACCTGGCACGTGGTAGACACTCAACAAATATATGTGGAATGAATGATTGACAGGTCACTCAACTCCTTTCACATAAACATTTCTCCTAGTGCATCATAGAGCAGTTCCCACCTGTGCCTGCCTCTTTGTGTTTTTGTTACACTGTGTGCCTGATTGCCTCTGTTTCCTTGGTAACATCTTTCTTTTCATTTTCCTCTTTGTCTTCACAGCTTGCTCTCCCTCATGAGAGCCTGAATCACCTTTTCTTAGGCTTTTAAAATTTCTCTTTTAAATTCTCTTATCTTCTTCCTCCTTCTGCTTCTTTGACTAAACAACTTACACCACTCTTGAACTGACTTCTTTTCTATGATTTGTGGTCAGACCCTTGCCCCAGCCCTGTGCCCTGTCTGCCCTGACCCTCTCTCCACACCCTCCAGGCCTCCCTGGAGCATGAGGAGGGCAAGATCCTCCGGGCCCAGCTGGAGTTCAACCAGATCAAGGCAGAGATCGAGCGCAAGCTGGCAGAGAAGGACGAGGAGATGGAGCAGGCCAAGCGCAACCACCTGCGCGTGGTGGACTCGCTGCAGACCTCCCTGGACGCAGAGACGCGAAGCCGCAACGAGGCCCTGCGGGTGAAGAAGAAGATGGAAGGCGACCTCAACGAGATGGAGATCCAGCTCAGCCACGCCAACCGCATAGCTGCCGAGGCCCAGAAGCAAGTCAAGAGCCTCCAGAGCTTGCTGAAGGTACATGGAGAGGCTTAGAAGCAGGCGGTCACCTCACCCAGATGGGACTGGCCCCACGTGGCCTAGTGAAGGGTGGTGGTCCCATTGCAGGCGCCAGAGCCCTCTGCCCCTGGTCATTGCAGAGACCACCGAGGGCCTCCTGAGCCACCGCGATGGGCTTTCCACTGAGCCACTTCCCTAAAGCCTTGGGAAGGGCAGCGAGGCAGCCCCCGACCTCATGCCCCTTCTCCTGGTCCTCAGGACACCCAGATCCAGCTGGATGACGCGGTCCGTGCCAACGACGACCTGAAGGAGAACATCGCCATCGTGGAGCGGCGCAACAACCTGCTGCAGGCTGAGCTGGAGGAGCTGCGTGCCGTGGTGGAGCAGACGGAGCGGTCTCGGAAGCTGGCAGAGCAGGAGCTGATCGAGACCAGTGAGCGGGTGCAGCTGCTGCACTCCCAGGTGAGGGGTCCCTGCATTCCCTAGAAGGAGCAGGAGCTGGTAGGACTCAGCGGTGAGGTTTGGGAGCCAGGCATGGATGCTCACTCAGTGCTTTTCCTGCTCTGCTCACCCCAACCCAGACACCAGCCTCATCAACCAGAAGAAGAAGATGGATGCAGACCTGTCCCAGCTCCAGTCGGAGGTGGAGGAGGCCGTGCAGGAGTGCAGGAACGCTGAGGAGAAGGCCAAGAAGGCCATCACGGATGTGAGTCCCCCACCCCACCTGCCGCTGCAGGACAGTGTCCCCTGGGCTGGGCAGCGAGTGTATGAGGACCTGACCAGACCACGTGCCACCTCTGCCCTGCACACAGGCTGCCATGATGGCGGAGGAGCTGAAGAAGGAGCAGGACACGAGCGCGCACCTGGAGCGCATGAAGAAGAACATGGAGCAGACCATCAAGGACCTGCAGCACCGGCTGGACGAGGCGGAGCAGATCGCCCTCAAGGGCGGCAAGAAGCAGCTGCAGAAGCTGGAGGCGCGGGTGCGGGAGCTGGAGAATGAGCTGGAGGTGGAGCAGAAGCGCAACGCGGAGTCCATCAAGGGCATGAGGAAGAGCGAGCGGCGCATCAAGGAGCTCACCTACCAGGTGCGGTGGGGGGGTGGCTCCGGCATGGCCCTCACATTGTGGCCTGAAGCCACAGTGATGACCACCCAGGGCAATTAGGGGTTTGCGCTTAGCCTTTTCTGGGGTGAGGTTGGGAGTGCAGCTCCATTCTACCTGCCTATCCCTGTCCCACTCTGAGTGTCCCCAACTCTGGGGTCAGTCTCTGAGCCTCATGACCTGGGAGCTCCACCTCAACATCCACCCTCAGTCTGTCCCCTGGGGACACACCCAGACCTCCAGAAAGGACTCACCCAGCACAGAGCACCAGAAAGCAAACGGTTGCCACCCAAATACATCAAAGCCATTCCAACAGGTCTCAAAGCTTTTCAGTAACCCCGGGCAGTGTAGAATCTAGCTTTCCATTGTGGTTTCTAGAATCAGACTCTCAATTAGAATTTGTTTCTGTTCTAATCCAGGATGTCACCATCCTTGTAAGCACACTTTGTCCTTAACCTAGATTAAGTCTGTGTCATCTGCATTGCAGCCCAGGAAAGTCCATCACACTCACAGCCCCAAAGCCACCTCCAGCACATGCTGGGCTCCAGAGCAGGGGGGTGTATCCTCCATTAGGTCCCAGCACCCTCAGGGGCCTGCTCCCTAGAGCAACACACACACAATTTTGTGTTAATTTCAGGTGTCCCATCAGCTCCTCCGACTCTTTCATGATACACATCATTTAAAATATTCACACTTTTTTGGTAGGAAATTATAAAGAGAATTCAAGTGTTGGTGAGGATCAGAAAGTAGAACTGGGTCAGGATATTAGATTCAAGTAAAGAAGACAAGAGAAGGTGGGAGGGTGGCGAGATGCTACCTCGTAGACTGTGCCATCTTCACCCCTGCCCATCCCTTGACGCCCAGACTGAAGAGGACAGGAAGAACCTGCTGCGGCTGCAGGACCTGGTGGACAAGCTGCAGCTGAAGGTCAAGGCCTACAAGCGCCAGGCCGAGGAGGCGGTGAGTAGCCCTGCAGGGCACTAGGCCTAGAGGGGACAGAGGGGAGCTGGTCACTCAGGCCGGGAGGCTGAGCACCCAGGCCCCTCTCACGCATCCCCCACCCACAGGAGGAGCAGGCCAACACCAACCTGTCCAAGTTCCGCAAGGTGCAGCACGAGCTGGATGAGGCGGAGGAGCGCGCGGACATCGCGGAGTCCCAGGTCAACAAGCTGCGGGCCAAGAGCCGCGATATCGGCACCAAGGTGGGTCCCTCCACTGGGCTGTGCTGGTCACTGGACAGCAACATACCTGCTCCATTGGCCTCAGACACTCTCATACCTGGGGTGCCTCCTTTTCACTTATCCCCCACAACTGAACTTCAGAGGCCCCAAGGCCAAGGGAATTCTGTTCTCTGATTTCTAAGGTTCTTTCAGCTTTAATGTTCAATGATTCTGGGAATCTCAGCCCTAGGGTAGTCAGCAACCCTGGAAGACCCTGATTTATGGACAACCCAGTATATCCCAATTTCCCCCCAACTGCTAGTTTCCACTTCCCTTCCACCTAATTTTGGTCTACAACCTTGTAACTGAAGCCTGAAATGGGCACCCCAGGGGACCCCCTTGTCCTCACCCAGGCAGATTCCCTCTGGCCCGCCCCAGAGCCTTACCCTGCAGAACGTACCCCTGCACACCGATCCCTGGAAACAAACCTGCCGCCCCCATGGGGCATCCACCAGCCCGCACAGCAGGCTCCTCCCCCACAGCAGGCTCCTCCCCTGCCCAACGCCCACCTCTCCAGAGCTAATTGAACTTTGTTTCCTTTCAAAAGGGCCTGAATGAGGAGTAGCTTTGCCACATCTTGATCTGCCCAGCCCTGAGGGTGCCAGCGAAGCTCCCGGTCCTGGAGCCTATGTAGCAGCCCCTGGGGAGGAAGCAGAATAAAGCAATTTTCCTTGAAGCCAAGATCCTGCCTCTAGACTCTTCTTCGATGCCCTCCATCCTTGGCAGGGGAGGGGTGGCCCAGGGGTGGAACAGGGGGCCATGCAGGGGAGGAGGGGCAGCTTCAAAGGTGCCCGTGAGACTCTGCACCCTCCCTGGAGCAGCACTGGACTCCCCTTCACCACCTCCAGCCAAATGCAGCAGAGAGGTGACACCTCTCCTCCAAGCCCCCTCACTGGCCCTGTGACCCTCAGGGTTAAAGGAGATTTAGGGAACCCCCAAGGCTCGCCTAGCCCACTCTGAGCCCATCTACTATGGATGTACACCCCAGCTCTGATCAACACTGCCCCCCTACTGCTGATAACAAGAGGTCTGGGCCACAGGGAGGAGGATCAGGGCATGCTGAGCAGTGTCCCTTCTGGGCCCTAGAGGTGTGACCCACTGGGCAGGTGAGGTAATAACCTCCTACGCCCTGTCCTGGGCAAGTCTCTGAGAGGACACTAAGACTCACAGCTGTAACCCACACACCCTTCCAGATACAGCCCCCTCAGAGGCCAGCACACCCCCTCCCACCACAGCCAGGGAAACGCCTCCTCAGCCCACCTTTGGGTCTTTCTCATCTCCTGGGGCCCAGCCTCCTCAGTTCAGAGGGCCCTCTTCTCCCTCACTTCTTCCCATTGCAGTTTCCAGGACCAAGAGCTTTCTCCTCTGGGCTTCCTAGAAGACGGGGTTCTCTTGGCCCATTTATGGGAAGCCACCTTGAGGGAGGGCAGGCATATGAGAGACTGGGGAAGGTCATATGTAAGCAGGACTCTGGGGATAGAAGGGGAGGAGACAGGTCCCTGGAGGGCTGGGAGGTAGAGGAAAGAGTAAGCCCTGCCTCCAATCAAGCAAGCCCAGCCCCTTGGAGTTGCTGCCTTGGCTGGGCTGCTGAGGGCAGGCCTGGGACTGTGGGCTGTAGAAGGCAGGGGCTTAAGAGGCAGTGGAAGCTGAGAAGCCCCGGCTCAGCCCTGGACTGGATCTGCCCCCAGCCCACCACACAGTCCCACTCAGAGCCCAGCTCCTGCTCCATACCTGGCTCTGAGCTCTGAACTCTGGATGCAGCAGGCAGAGCAAGGACTGTGACAGGAAGGAGGGGACAGGAGGACTGGAGAATAGCAGGTGGGGGGGAGGAGAGAAAGTGAATAGGGAAGGAAAAAGGAAAAGCCTGGGGGTGGTAGCAGTGGAGAGAGAGATCAAGAAACCAGGGAACAGGAAGACCAGAGAAAACAGACAAGGATAAAAGATACAGGAAATGAGGAGGTCCCTGAAAGATCCAAGGGCCCTCCCGCCGTTTTCCTTGCACCCGCTCCATTCTCCCTCCCTAGGAGATTCCTTTTCCTAGGAGCAGACCTGGAGGGCAATGAAGAGATAAATAGAGAAAGGAGAGAACACCTTTGAAAAGATAGGTGCAAGGAGAACCCCAGGGCACCCAAGCAGCCAGAGCAAGAAGCTCCCCTGCCAGAAGGGAGAGCCGGGCCTGGGGAGGAGAGGGTGCTCACAGGGCTGGGGAGGGGAGGAAAGGAGAGGGCACCTGGGATGGAGAGGCTTGAGGAGCTGAGGGGTCCTGGGTGAAGGCAAGAATCCCAGTCGCCTTCAGATGCAAGGAGGTCCAGGAAAGCCACGGAGCAGGAGACGGCAGAGGGGTGGACGAGGAGCCGGGAGTTAGGCGTGGAGGCAGAGAAGAGCCAGGCGGAGGGTGAGCAGTGGAGAAGAGGCGGCTTGGAGAAGGCAGAGCCGTGCACCAGATCCCAAGATGGGCAGAGACCTGGGCAGGGAGAATAAGAGGCAGGTCCGACTTCGAGACGGGGAAGCGGGCAGAGGGAAAGGAAAGTCAGGTGCAGACACGGGCTGGCAAGACCTGGGCGGCAGGCAGGAGAGAGGCGGCTGTGCTGAGGAGTCCAGCCCTGCCTCTCCGGCCCCTCACCTGTGCCCGGCCCCTCCATCCGTGCCTTCACGTCCCAGGACTTGCAGCAGAATGAGGAGCTGCTTGGGAGCCAGCTGGGGGAGGACGGAGAGCAGGATGTGAGTGCCAGGGGAGGAAGGGGCCCAGGGAAGCAAGAGGAGGGCAAAGCAGACAGACAGGGCAGGGCCTGGGACCAAGCTAACCCCTTCCTCCTCCTTCCCTAGGAGATAGGGAGCTGCCCGCCCACCCCTCACCCTCCACCCACCCACCCCTCACCCTCCACCCACCCACCCCTCCTCCACCACCTATACCAAGTCTGGCCTGCCCAGAGCACAGGGTTCCCTGAGGACAAAGCCTGGTCTTTGTCACCTGGACCTGACCCAGCCTGACCTGTTGTTCTCAGCCCTTGTCAAGTCCCCAGGGTGATGGAAACCAAGCAGTGGCACACTGAGCCATGGGCTAACCCCCCAGCTTGCACTCTGGGGCCTCGAGTGACCTAGAGCTGGGGACAGGTGGCCTGCATCCCCTGGGGGCAACAACTTGGCATAAGCACTTGTAGGAGATGGGGCTGTGGGGTCGACTCAGGCCTTGCCAAGGACACCGAACAGAGGGTACCGGCATCCTGGAGAGAGATGAGTGTTCCTGAGCCTGGTGATGGGGCAGTGGAGTGTCCCAGGGAGCTGGGGACCTTGGGGGGAAGCTGCATCTTTGGTGGAAAGTGCTCCTCCCCAGAGAAGCTGACCCCTGCCATCCTGCCCACTTCCATACCCTTGAGCTATATTGAGAGGTGACAGTAGATGGGTGGGAGGGGGAGCCGGGAGAGTGTTCCTGGGTGTGAGGGTGTGGGGGAGAGCCAGAGCAGGGAGTCTGGCTTTGTTTCCTGAACACAATGTCCACTTAGTCATAACAGGCACGGCCTGCTGAAGACCTGACACCTATGGCCTCTGAGAGGTGGCAGCACTGTAGGATGGGAGCGTGCCCTGAGGGCCCGGGGCGCTTGAGGACACCCACAAAGAAGGGCATGTGAGTATGAGCCCAGGAGGGTGTGGAGGGGCACCAGAGTTCCACCTGGGGAGGGGGGAGACTGCAGAGCCCCGCCCCCACCCCTGGAATGTGGAGCCGGGGCCAGCTGGTGTAAATCCCCAGGCCTGCCAGGCGCCCCAGCCATCCCCAGCGGCACCTGCACCCTCTGGCAGCCTGGAGAGACAGACGGGAGCAGCCCCCCACCTCTTCCCTCCTCTCTCAGGCCCTGGGATTAACGCCTTCTGCCTCTGCCCCTACCCCCACCCCACACCAGGAGACGAAGGTGGCAGCAGAGGGTCAAAGCCCATGTGTGCAAGTGTGGGCGTGCAAATGTGTAGGTGAATATGTAAGGGGAAATCCTCCAGCTCAAGTGCGTAAGTGTGAAAAGTCTGCTTGCGTGTGACTGAAAATGGGCACGGACAAGTGGCCGGTCCAGCATGTATGTGAGGGTACTGGCCTGAGGCAGTGTGGGAGAATTCCTTCCATTGTTTGAGGGGTTTGGATGACTGCCACTGTTTCGGGAGCATCAGGGAAAGGGTGGGGGCTCCAAGTGTGTCCCCAAACCAGAGTAGCAGCCTCAAGTCCTCAGGAGGATACCTGCCTGGACACTCAGGGAATAGGAGACCAGCCTTGGCACATATGCAGACTGAGAGCAGGACCGAAGTTCTTTTCCTGAAAAAGGGAAACCGAGTCCCAGAGCTGGACAGTAGATCCCCTCCCTGGGCAACCTGGCTGTAGCTCCCAATCCCAAAGACCGTGAGACTCCAGGTCCCAGAGTGCAGGGAGATACTTTCAGCCCGGGGCTGTGTGAGGACAGGTCAGGTGGAAGGGAGAGGGCAGGGAGCAGGGGAGCCCGTGGTTGGGAGGCAGGGGACAGGCATTTGGCCTGCAGGAGAAGGTGACCCTCCTCCATGTGCTCAACTCACCCTTCAGGTTAAAAATAACTGAGGTAAGTGCTATGGTGGGGTGGGGGAGGTGGAGTGAAAAGGTTCTCTCTTCCCACTATCTGTGCCCCTCGGCCCTTTTCGAGGGAGGAATGTGCCCAAGGACTAAAAAAAGGCCCTGGAGCCAGAGAGGCTGGGAGGACAGACCTTTCATGGGCAAATCTGGGGGCCCTGCTGTCCTCCTGTCACCTCCAGAGCCAAGGGATCAAGGGAGGAGGAGTCAGGAGGGGAGAGAGCTGGGAGGGAGGGTCCCTCCGGAAGGACTCCAAATTTAGGCAGGGTGTGGGGGAAGTGGGGTATAAAGGAGCTGGAGCTTTGGGGACAGACAGAGGCTGCTCCGACCCAGGTAAGAGGGCCTTTGGGGTGAGATGCTCTGTGGCCAGTCTGCAGAGCCACACTTTGAGGAACGTGGCCTGCACTGAGAGTGGGGCGCAGCTCAGCCGGAGGCCCAAGGGTCCTGCTAGAACTGCCTTTCTCTAGCCCCAGGGACATTCCCACTGTCAGAGGGAGGTGCCATTGGGGAACACCTGAAATCTCTTTTCTTCTTTGACTCTGTTTCTTTCCCTACACCATTCTGTGTCTTCCACACGCTGTCTCCATCTTCTCCCTCCTTTGGATGGCTGCCGTCCCTTTGTCCTAGCTTTATTTTGCCTGTTGGTCTTTGTCAATCCCTGTCCTCTTGTGCTGCTTTGTCTGTCTCTCTCCCTGGCCCTTCCTTCTTGGCTGTGTGTTCTAATCTCCCTGCCTCTCTCTGCTTCTAATTCTGTTTCCACACCCCGTGCCTCATCCTTCTGCTAACCTGGCACCCTTGCTTTTCTGCCTCTCTGTGTCTCTCCCTGACCCCCTGCTGTGCTCGGTCTTACCCGTGGCCCTCTGGGTGCAGCCTTGTTGTTCTCCATGTCCCTGTCTATTCTCTCTGCCAGGCGCACCTCTGGGGCTCCTTGCTCCACTCTTGGTCCAGATTCTTCAGGATTCTCTGTGAGGAGATAACCAGGTGAGAACCGCCCCAGCTTTCTCTGCAGAGGGCAGGGCATGCTTCTCCCAGGAGCCAGCTTGCTGGACCAATGGCTGCTGTTCCTCCCCTGAGCACTCAGTGCCTCCCCTTAGCAACCCCCAGCCAGTGTGGCCAGAAGCAAACCCCTCACAGAGATCCTCCTTCAACATCGCCCCAGGGGCAGGGGAAGCAGAACCCCAGTGGGGTTTGGGCTGGTGCCTCCCGCAGGGTGGTGGGAGGAGAGCCATAGGGCCTGTGGGGAGGAGGAGGGCAGGGAGTGGGGATGCAGAGCCTGGGCCCACCGCAGCATTTACAGAGCCCTCCTGTCTCTGTCCCAGAGGAGCGACAAGATGACTGACGCCCAGATGGCAGACTTTGGGGCGGCAGCCCAGTACCTCCGCAAGTCTGAGAAGGAGCGTCTAGAGGCCCAGACCCGGCCCTTTGACATCCGCACTGAGTGCTTCGTGCCCGATGACAAGGAAGAGTTTGTCAGAGCCAAGATTGTGTCCCGGGAGGGGGGCAAGGTCACTGCAGAAACCGAAAATGGCAAGGTGCGTGGGGCACGGTGCCAGAGCAGGAAGAGGGAAGGTTTGGGGGGAGGTTTGGGGAGGTGCCACTTGCAGTGGGAGCTGAGAGGCCTAGAGAAGTGCCAAGGCCACTGGGAAGGTCAGGACGTGCTCCCTCGAGCCCAGGATCTGATCCTTCTCAGACGACCTGAGCAGGTGCAACAGGTGCCGCCCAGGAGTACTCATCCCTTGCCAGAGAGGATGCTGAGCAAGGAGGACCTCAGCTGTTTTCCTCCTCAGAGGAGTCTTGTTGATAAAGAGGGCACAGGCACGCATTAAATGAGGCTCCCTTCTTGCACTTGTACCCCCCTCTCTGTGCCTCAGGACCCCAGGGGTCCACTCGCTCAAATTCCCTTCGCCCAAACCAAGAGCAAAGTCTTACACCCAGGTGAACACCAAGGGCAGGAATGCTGGAGCTCAGCGCCCAGTCCCGGGCTGGTGAAGCCCTCAGAAGCCCCTGGTCCCCAGCTCCCTCACACCAGCCCTGAGAATTGCCACTGGTCACCAGCAGCTCAGAGCTGTGTGCCTCACAGACATGTGTGGAATAACAGGCCATGATCCACTGGGGCTTTGACTCTGATCCCAGCACTGCCACCATCTAGTCACCGTGCAGGCGACACATTCAGTTGTTTAGAGCCACAGCTTCCTCCACCATTAAAAATGCTGGGATGCCTGCTGGCAGGATCTAATGAGCTCAGGGCATGGCACACTGAGCCATGCCAATCAAACCCTACTGACAGTTGCCGACAGGAAGTGTAGGGTAGATGGATGAGCTGCTTTTGCAGTAGGGGTGAAGGTCTGCCCCGAGCAATTGACATCCTGGGACACTGCCCCCAGGAGACAGTGCAAGGCATGTGTGCACAGCTCTGAGAGCTGCTGGTCCTCAGGTCTGCCCTTAGATACTTGAAACACAGGGATGAAGGGTGATGACCATGGGCGCAGGGTCTGGGGACCTGACAAGAGAAAGGGACCTAGGATGGGAGCAACAGTAGGCAGGTAAATTACTTGTGGAGGTTGTCTTGGGGGAGCTCTGGGGTGGGGCTGGGGCACTGGTAGGGAAGAGTAAGGGAGCAAGGCCAGGTCACAGCCTGTGGCCTGGGAGGAGGTCAGTGGGCAAGGCTGGCAAGTTCACCTGGCAAGGATCAAGGTGGGAGTATGGTCCTCCCATCCTACTGCCCACATGCCCCCTTTAGACAGTGACCGTGAAGGAGGACCAGGTGTTGCAGCAGAACCCACCCAAGTTCGACAAGATCGAGGACATGGCCATGCTGACCTTCCTGCACGAGCCCGCGGTGCTCTACAACCTCAAGGAGCGCTACGCGGCCTGGATGATCTACGTGAGTGGTCCTGCACACACTCACTCAGGGCCTCCCTGTCCTGGATGGAGGCCAAAGTAGTCCAGGGGCAGTCTCCCAAGGACAGGGGGTAGGCAAGATGCCAGGGCAGGAGGAGGGAAGGTTTGGGGGGAGGTTTGGGGAGGAGCCACTTGCAGTGGGAGCTGAGAGGGACCCAGATCCCTTCTCCTGCCTCCTCGCCCCTGGTCAGCTGCAGGAAGGGAAGAGCCCACTGGAGTGACCAGGGATGCCCCTACCTGCCACCATTGCCCACCCCCGGCTATCCCCACCAACCTCCTTGTCTTCTGCTCCAGACCTACTCGGGCCTGTTCTGCGTCACCGTCAACCCCTACAAGTGGCTGCCGGTGTACAATGCCGAGGTGGTGGCCGCCTACCGGGGCAAGAAGAGGAGCGAGGCCCCACCCCACATCTTCTCCATCTCCGACAACGCTTATCAGTACATGCTGACGGGTGAGCCCAGTGGCCCCTGACCTGTGCCCCTCAACTCCAGCACCCACCAGCAACTCAGGCCTGACCCATCGCCTCTCCTCTTTTCCCTTCCAGATCGGGAGAACCAGTCCATCCTCATCACGTGAGAGAGCCCCAACCACACACAGAGGGGCTTGGGCTGGGGGTACCCAGGCTGATTCTTGGGGTGTAGGTGGGGAGGAGAGGTGTAGGGCTCCCATTAGAGGAGTGCCAGAGTAGCGAGTGGTGACAGGCACATCCTGTCGGGTGCTGGGCTGTGACGGCCAGGCCTGGGAAGGGGAGTGTGCAGTGCTGAGCTCTATGTATAAACCAGAAGGAACCCTGAGTTCTGATCGGTCCCTGTGGCCCCCAGCGGAGAATCCGGGGCAGGGAAGACTGTGAACACCAAGCGTGTCATCCAGTACTTTGCCAGCATCGCAGCCATAGGAGACCGTGGCAAGAAGGACAACGTCAATGCAAACAAGGTGCCACACACTCCACAGTGGGGGTGGGGGGTGGACAGGCTGACCCAGGTTACCCTGACCCTGTCCTCCCTGGTGGAGCAGTGGGGACACAGGGCTCCAGAGGGTCATCCCAGTGTGGAAGACTGTCTTGGCAGGAGACACACACTCTGAGGTCTGTGCATGGCCTTTGGAGCCATAGGCCCACCAGTAGTGCATCCAGCCACAGCCCCAGCCCCAGGGCCAGAGCAGCCTCCTTGCCATCCCACCACTGCCTGGGGGTGGACAGAGGTGAACCTCCCAGTCTGCTCCCTTTGCAGGGCACCCTGGAGGACCAGATCATCCAGGCCAACCCCGCTCTGGAGGCCTTCGGCAACGCCAAGACCGTCCGGAACGACAATTCCTCCCGCTTTGTGAGTGCCTCTGCACTGCCCACTGGCCTCAGCCAGCCTTGGCAGGAAAAGGGGGTGCTGTTCTGCTGTGCCCAGTTAATTGCACTGTATCTAGTTTGGGGATATCAACAAATGCGTGTATGTGTGCATGCACACACACACACTCACACTGCAAACCCTCCCAATGCAGCCTGGCTCCGTGAGTTCTGGGAGCCCCAGAAAAGAAACCCAGAGTCACCACAGCTGTTCCACAGCCAAGTAACAGCTGATTTGGGTCATAGTTTAGATTTTTCTTATGAGTCTTTCCAAAGTTCTTGTACATTGGAAGTGGGAAGAGAGCATAGGCTCTGGAGCCAAAGGCCTGATTTCCACTTGCTCAGCAAGTCCCCACACCTCTCGTTGGAGCCCAGTTCCTTACCTGTGGGACAGCAGTGCTAATATCTACTTGCACATTGTCAGGAAGAGTGCGTGAGAGGAGAGGCACAAGGAGGAAGTGTTCTGCGTGTGTTAGCCTGGGCCAGTTTCCATCCAGAGATCCTGGGTGGTATGTGGGGCTGGGCATCCTTTTCCCTGTTTCACTAATACACAACTGAGACCCCAAACAGGTGGTTTACATCTCCAGAACCATCCAGGGCGTTCTGTGCTGAGGGCCAAGTTTCCATTCTGTCCCTTCCCTCACTGTCCCATCTGCCCCCAGGGGAAATTCATCAGGATTCACTTTGGAGCCACTGGAAAGCTGGCTTCTGCAGACATAGAGACCTGTGAGTACCCGCAGGGGACGTTGGGGGTGGCCCTGTCTCATCTTTCCCTCCGTCTCCTGTCTTTGTCCACATTGGCCTCTTGGCTTTAGTGCCCATTTTCTTTCAATCTCATCTTCTCCCCTGGCTCTCTCCATGGTGCTGTGGGAGCCCTCGCGCCCACCATCTCCACCCTTTTGCTGGCTCTACTCTCTTTCCTTCCTCACCTGCCTTCCCCGCTCCCCCTGCCTCAGATCTGCTGGAGAAGTCCCGGGTGATCTTCCAGCTGAAGGCTGAGAGGAACTACCACATCTTCTACCAGATCCTGTCCAACAAGAAGCCAGAGCTGCTGGGTGAGCCCGGCCTGCCCGCCCTCCCCAAAGCCTCCTGGTGTGCAGGGCAGGGCCCTCCCCCTCCTCACGCTGCCCCACCTCCTCCCTCCCCCTTTATTCCCTCCTCCCTCCTCTGTCTTCCCACCTTTTCCCCCCTCCCCATTCCTCTGTCTTCCCACCTTCTCCCTCCCTTATTAGCTGGGCCAGCTCTCCCTTCCTTCCCCATCTGCCTCTGCTCTCACCCCCCCATGCACCTCACCCCTCCACTCCTCCGTCCACCCCTCCCTTGGCACGCGCCTTCCCTTCCTGTGTCTCCTCATCACCCACCTGTCATTCCCCCACCATCCTCCCTCTCCCTTTTCATGGAGGCCTCCAGTTCTCCCTCCTGGGCCCCGCTTCCACTCTCTCACTTCCCTTGGGCCTTTCTCCTTGGTCCTCACTGACTTTCTTCTTCTCTACTCTGTCCTCTCCACCTCGTTTCTCCTGGCCCTGCCTCCTCCTGGCCCTCTCTGCCCCTTCCCTGCCCTCTGCCCTCCCCCTTGCCCCTGCCCTGCCCCTTGCCTGGTGCAGACATGCTGCTGATCACCAACAACCCCTACGACTATGCCTTCGTGTCCCAGGGAGAGGTGTCCGTGGCCTCCATCGATGACTCTGAGGAGCTCATGGCCACCGATGTGAGTGAGGAGGCTGCTGCGGCCACACAAGGGCCCCTGGGGTTGCCAGGGCCACTGCTCCAACCCCCTCTTTGCTTTTTACTGTGTCCCAGAGTGCCTTCGACGTGCTGGGCTTCACTCCGGAGGAGAAAGCCAGCGTCTACAAGCTGACGGGCGCCATCATGCACTATGGAAACATGAAGTTCAAGCAGAAGCAGCGGGAGGAGCAGGCGGAGCCGGACGGCACCGAAGGTGTGCGGGGCAGGTGGGCAGCACTGGAGAGGCCCACAGTGCTGGCCCGTCGTGCTGGGCCTCCCACGCTGCAGCCTACAGTGGTAGCTTTCAACAGTTCTTAAGGAATTAGGTTGACAACAAGGTTGTTTGTACCACAGTGGAGAAAATGGAAGGAAACCAGGAGAAACATGAGAAGCAGGTGGTCCGAGAGTGGTGGCTTTTTCCAGGGGCAGGCTCTGCTCCATCCCATGTGGTCCTGTCCCCAGGCTTTCTCCTCAGCTAGAACCCAGCCAGGCTGGCTCCTGGAGGACCTGAGGTGTGTGGAGTAGAGGAGTGGGGAGGGACAGAGATGTGGGAGAGGTAGGCAGACAGGGAGTCCTCCCACAGTGCCTCGGACTTCTCCACCTCAAACTGCACTAACCACAGGTGAGTTCGGGATTTTTCCTCCTGTGCCCAAGACTCACCCAGCCCCAGGAGACACAGCCCCAAGCTCTGCACATCACCATCATCGGTGTGGGGTGTTTGCCTGCCCAGCCCTTGGGTGAGCCACTCACAGGCTCATGCCATGTTCTGTTTGGGAGGCAGCAGGCCAGGGCTCAGGACGCAGTTCAGCGCATTGGTGTGTCCCCTTCTCTGGGTTCAGTTTCCTCCTCAGTCCTCTGGAGGCTGCTGTGAGAATCCTTGGAGAAGGAGATGTGGAGGTGTGAACAGTGCCAGACAGGTGCTCGAAAACATTCCTCTTGGCCCACCTTCACGGAACCTTCCTCCAAGTCTGTCTAGATCAAAATGTCAGCTGGTTTCATGATAGCATGTCAATAGTTATTACAAAATTCTTGAAATCACACCAGATAAATCCCCTCTAAATAGAGGAATCCACATGTTTGGATAGCATAACGGGATGGCTGGGGGTAGGGGTGGGTGCTGAACAACACACCCTTTGGGAGCCTTGATTTCCCAGCCAGTCAGATTGGTCAGCATGTGACCTAAGACCAGAGCACGCCAACTCCTGGGCTAGATACTGGGGTGGAGACAGGGAACAGAGGACACCTATTTCCATCAGCCACGTCCCTGCCCTGGAGGGGTGAGGGCTGCAGTGAGCTGGGACCCAGTGCTTGTGAAAGGCCTAGTCCAGAGACAGCCAGCGGACATAGAGACGGAGCTCAGAGGAGATGAGTGTGTCTGGAGGCTGTGGGCTAGACAAAGGGGCCTGGGCTCCTGCGTGACCCGGCACTCCCGGGCCGTGTGACCATGGGCAAGCCTTGTGCTCCTTCAGACCTCCACCTCCTCCTCTTTAAGGAGAAGAGGTTGGACCTGATGCTTCCTAAAGGCTCTGACCCCGGGTCAGGGAAGGAGGGTTGATTACAGTGCTCGCTCCCTCCTTTCCCTCTCAACCAGATGCCGACAAGTCCGCCTACCTCATGGGGCTGAACTCAGCAGACCTGCTCAAGGGGCTGTGCCACCCTCGGGTGAAAGTGGGCAACGAGTACGTCACCAAGGGGCAGAGTGTGCAGCAGGTGTACTACTCCATCGGGGCACTGGCCAAGTCAGTGTACGAGAAGATGTTCAACTGGATGGTGACGCGCATCAACGCCACCCTGGAGACCAAGCAGCCACGCCAGTACTTCATAGGAGTCCTGGACATCGCTGGCTTTGAGATCTTCGACGTGAGTCAGGGGAGCCCTGGGAGTGGGCAGAATGTCACTCACTCATTCCACCTTTAACTGCCACTGCTGAGTGCCAGCCAGGGGCCCAAATGGGAAGGTGGTGGGGACTGTGTGGTGACAGAGGCAGTCATCGTCCCTGTCTCCCGGGGAAGCTCTCCTCTGCTGCCCTGACCTGGGAGGGGACCAGCTGCACCCCAGCTGGTCTCGGGCACAGTGCACAGGCACAGCCCTGGGCCAACCCCAGTGGCCACTCGGACACCCACCCACCTGCCTGCTCCCGCCCCTCCCTCCCCTGCAGTTCAACAGCTTTGAGCAGCTCTGCATCAACTTCACCAACGAGAAGCTGCAGCAGTTCTTCAACCACCACATGTTCGTGCTGGAGCAGGAGGAGTACAAGAAGGAGGGCATCGAGTGGGAGTTCATCGACTTCGGCATGGACCTGCAGGCCTGCATCGACCTCATCGAGAAGGTGCGGCCTCCGCCCCACTGCCCATGTCCCCCACCTCTGCCATCCCAGACAAAGAGGCAGCCCCAGAAACTAAAATCCCCGGAATCTCAAGCCTCACTCCAGGCCCAGTTTCTACTCATGGGAAGTCATGGGCAGGCACAGGATGAGCCCTTTCCTTCTTTTCCCAGGACCTTGCACCAGTATGGTGGTCACCTCTCCGTGTCTTAAGAGTGAGATGTAGTAAAGGAGAGGACCCTTGGCCCTTGACAGCCCATGACCAGCTGCACCCCAGCTGGGCTTGGGCACAGTGCACGGGCACAGCATGCATTCGTAGAAGCACCATTCGTAGAAAGATCCTAGGCTGAGACTAGAGATGTTTGGCTTCCCCTATCTTGCTGTGTGTTGAGAAATAAGCCAGCCTCCAGCCCCGCCTGTCTATCGGCATTTCCCAGGAGAGACAAGGGCGTTGGTGGCAGGCTCCCCCGTGCCAGAGCAGAGCTGCTCTCAGTGTGGCTTCACTCTGCGAACACGGCACAGACCCTCACCCCACCCAGCCACTGCTTTCAGCAAACGGGAGCTTCCCCACAAGCTTTGAGTCATTATCCAGAGATTCTGAACTGGGGTTCTCATCTTTCAGAGGCCTCAGAATCACATAAAACTGTGGGGGAGAAAAACATGTGTACATGCATGTGGGCTTGTTCATGTGTATGTATATGTGTGTACATGCATTGTTTCTGGAGAGTCAGTCTTTGGCTTCATCAAATTCTCAAAAGGATTCCTGCCCCAGGAAAAGTCAAGAACCACCACATGCTTTCTGAAGTGCAGAGTATTATGTAGAGTCTGGGTCCTTCTAAGCATCCTTTGGAAAACTGCTACCAGAGTTATACAGTCTGGCCTGCCCCTGCAGTCTGCTGCCTCTGACACACCTGTCCCTGCCCTGGTGTCTCTGGGGCAGGAAGCCATCGGGAGGAAGGGGCTGTGTTGTGAGGCCATGTGGGCCTCGAGGGGTGATTAGGAGTGCATAGCTCTTTGTAGGGTCCACTGGGGCAGAAAGAGTCCAAGCCTGAATGTCATTGGATTTAGGTTGATTTCAGGAAGATGGGCTTCCTATCTGGAGGCAAGAGGTACCAGTGCAGCCAGAAGTACTGGGCTATAGAGTCTTTTGTCTGTCTTAGTGTGGGACTCTGGGAGCCTGGGAGTGCACTCAGTGACTCTGTCTCTACCTCTCACCCTGCCCTCAGCCCATGGGTATCATGTCCATCCTAGAGGAGGAGTGCATGTTTCCCAAGGCCACCGACATGACTTTCAAGGCCAAGCTGTATGACAACCACCTGGGCAAGTCCAACAACTTCCAGAAGCCACGAAATGTCAAGGGGAAGCAGGAAGCCCACTTCTCCTTGGTGCATTATGCTGGCACCGTGGACTACAACATCCTGGGCTGGCTGGAAAAGAACAAGGACCCTCTCAACGAGACAGTGGTGGGCTTGTACCAGAAGTCCTCCCTCAAGCTCATGGCCACGCTCTTCTCGACCTATGCTTCTGCCGACAGTGGTAAGGGGGCAGCCCCTACACTGGGCCAGGGGATGTCTGGAGGTACGAGGGGTCAGGGTCCTGCTGCTTCAAAGCACAGGACTCCAAGGGCAGGGAGAGCCCAGGGTCAGTCCGCAGCAGTCCCTCTGTACCAGCCACTCCGCTTTGTGTTGGGGATGGTGGTGTTTCCTCAAGACTGAGCAACTGGAGGTCGATGAGCATGGTGAATGCCCCATTAGAGCACGCCCAGCGTGGAGCAGAGCACACAGGAGTCCTCAATAAATGTGGAGAGAACCACTGAACAAATGAGCCTCCAATTCGGAGAAGGGAGACGGGTGTGGGTTGAAATGAAGAGGATAAAGCATGAGGAGAAGAGTAGAAGGGGAAAGATATAAGAAGGAAGGGTGGGGCTTGAAGAGGGAGCAATGGGGCCCTGGCGTTATTTCAGTGCCTACTGTGCGGCAGGCATTGGTGAGCTGCCTCGCGTCTTGATTTTGTCTAGTGCCCTTCACAACTTCTATTAGTGCTGTCATCCTCATGGAAAACTGAGACTGACTTGGAGAACGACTGGCCAGAAGTCACAGGGCTACTGAGTGCGAGGTGGAGCCCTGCCTCTGCCTGAGGGCTTCTGTGTTTTCAAGCTCTGTTCATTGTTCTTTCTCTTGTTTTTAGCAGATAGCGGTAAAAGCAAAGGAGGCAAGAAAAAGGGCTCATCCTTCCAGACAGTGTCAGCTCTCCACCGGGTAAGCAGGGCCCAGAGCAGCCAGGGCGCCTGTGGGGCAGGTCTGGCTCGGGTCTCTTGGCTGCACAGCCCTATCCTGATTCTCTGAGTCTGGGGAGGAAGGAGGCCAGAGCTTTGTGGTGGTTTCTCATGTGTAGCTTCTACACAAGCTTGAACTCACATCATAAACTATGTGTCAAGTCCTTGACCCTTTGATGGTTCTGGTGACAGGGTGGCTGGGGCCTAAGGGCTCACGGACCTAAGGGATGGTCCTTGTGGCCGCTAACTCCTCACCTTCATCCACCCCCAGGAGAATCTGAACAAGCTGATGACCAACCTGAAGACCACCCATCCTCACTTTGTGCGCTGCATCATCCCCAACGAACGGAAGGCTCCAGGTGAGCGTGGGGGGAAGACCACAGCCTGGGGAGGCTGCCTGGCATCACTCACCCTAAGGCTGACCCCTGCCCTCCCCCGCAGGGGTGATGGACAACCCCCTGGTCATGCACCAGCTGCGCTGCAACGGCGTGCTGGAGGGCATCCGCATCTGCAGGAAGGGCTTCCCCAACCGCATCCTCTACGGGGACTTCCGGCAGAGGTGGGTACCGGGCTTCCCCACAGCTCAGGGAATAGGGGCAGCCTGGGCTGCTCTGAACGGCAGAGACCAGTGCGGAGCGTGGGTGACTGTGGCACTCCACTCCCCAGGTATCGCATCCTCAACCCGGCCGCCATCCCTGAAGGGCAGTTCATTGACAGCAGGAAGGGGGCAGAGAAGCTGCTGGGCTCCCTGGATATTGACCACAACCAGTACAAGTTCGGCCACACCAAGGTGAGGACAGGGAGGGGACAAATCAGTTAGAGGAAGACATCTCTCCTCCGTTGAGTCCTCAGCTCATGACTCCTTTCCTTTGACCAGTCGGCTTGGCAACATCTCTGCCCCTGCCCCATGCTACTCCTCCCAGCGGGACACCCAGCACCACTCCCCTCACCCCAGCCCCCACTGCCGTGCAGCTCCTCCCTCCAAGCCTGTCCTAGTAGGCGCCCTTCCCAGCATGCCCCACACCACCCCTGCCTGGCAGCCCAGGCCCAGCACACACCTTCCCTGCAGGTGTTCTTCAAGGCGGGGCTGCTGGGGCTGCTGGAGGAGATGCGGGACGAGAGGCTGAGCCGCATCATCACGCGCATCCAGGCCCAGTCCCGGGGCCAGCTCATGCGTATCGAGTTCAAGAAGATCGTGGAACGCAGGTGAGGCAGGAGGGAAGGAAGGGTTGCCGCAGAGATGTGAGAGCAAACAAGCAGTGCCAACTACTGCGGGTCAGAAGACCTGGCTCCAGATCCAGGCTCCGCTGCTGACTAGCTGGCCTGGGCAAGTTACTTTACCACTCTGGATCCATTTTGAACTCTTTTTGAAAAAAATAAAATTCCATATAGGGAAATGCAAGTTAAGACTCCAGTGAGATACCATTTTAAAACACTAGATTGACAAAAATTAAGAAGTTTGACCCATTACCCATTGTGCAAATTAGTGCAACCTCTTTGAAAAACAATTTATCATCATCTTTTAAAGTTGAACAACTGTATACTTTTCAATTTTGCTCCTGAGTGCATTCCTATAGAGAAACTCCTACATATGTGCACCTTGAAATGAAAAAGAATCTTCCTAGCAATGTTGGTCATAATAGCAAAGATCTGGAAACAACCCAAATTTCCATCCACAGGAGAACAGATAAATAGCATTATAGTCATTCAGTGGAATGTTATACAGCAATGAAAAAGAGTGGACCACAATTCCTATGTTTGAACCTGAAAAGCATATTGTTGAATGAACCAAAGCAAATCACAGTAGGATACATATAGTATGATGCAATTTTATAAACTTCAAAAGTATAATAATAAAAACCCCCAGGCCGGGCACGATGGCTCACATCTATAATCCTAGAACTCTGGGAGGCCGAGGCGCGTGGATCGCTCAAGGTCAGGAATTTAAAACCAGCCTGAGCAAGAGCGAGACCCCGTCTCTATTAAAAATAGAAAGAAATTAATTGGCCAACTAATATATAGAAAAAATTAGCCGGGCATGGTAGCGCATGCCTGTAGTCCCAGCTACTCAGGAGACTGAGGCAGCAGGATTGCTTGATCCCAGGAGATTGAGGTTGCTGTGAGCTAGGCTGACCCCACGGCACTCACTCTAGCCTGGGCGACAAAGTGAGACTTTGTCTCAAAACAAAAAAAACAAAAAAAAACTACCAATACATTTTTAAAGACACATATACATACAGTTAAAGTTTTTGTGAAAAAAGTAAAGAAAGGAGAAACAAGTTTCAGAGTAGTGGCTACTTCCAGTGAGGGGACCAGGGAAGGGTCTAGCAAGGAGCCACAGGTAGATCCAATGACTGGTACTTTTGTTTGGGGTGGTAAGTTCATGGATAGCCGTTTTGTTTTCATGCTTTATAACCTACATATATATTATAGATATTCCTATAAATAAAACACTACATAATTTTTTTTTTTTTGAGACAGAGTCTTGCTTTGTTGTCCAGGCTAGAGTGAGTGCCGTAGCGTCAGCCTAGCTCACAGCAACTTCAAACTCCTGGGCTCAAGCAATCCTGCTGCCTCAGCCTCCCGAGTAGCTGGGACTACAGGCATGCACCACCATGCCTGGCTAATTTTTTCTATATATATTAGTTGGCCAATTAATTTCTTTGTATTTATAGTAGAGACAGGGTCTCGCTCTTGCTCAGGCTCGTTTTGAACTCCTGGTTTCGACCTCGAGCAATCCGCCCGCCTCGGCCTCCCAGAGTGCTAGGATTACAGGCGTGAGCCACTGAGCCCAGCCAAAACACTACATAATTTTTAATATACTGAGGTTCTTATGAAAATAGAAACACTGAACATGGTAAACAGTCTATAAGTGGTAGCTTACAACTAATGCCCCAGTAGGGAAGATATAAACATTCCTTTCACTGATTAATTAATAAATACCTATCAAGCAACTCCATGTGCGGAGTAGTGATGCTGGGGGTGGGAGTGTATGCAGTGGGTAGGCTACAAGACAGGACTCCTAGTGCCTACAAATTTGCTTAGATGGAAGCCAAGTATGGTTGGGCCCATGATTGTGAAGGGCTCTTACATAGTGCCCCTCCCTGCTGCCGTGTTTCCTTGTCAGGGATGCCCTGCTGGTAATCCAGTGGAACATTCGGGCCTTCATGGGGGTCAAGAATTGGCCCTGGATGAAGCTCTACTTCAAGATCAAGCCGCTGCTAAAGAGCGCAGAGACGGAGAAGGAGATGGCCAACATGAAGGAGGAATTCGGGCGCATCAAAGAGTCACTGGAGAAGTCTGAGGCTCGCCGCAAGGAACTGGAGGAGAAGATGGTGTCCCTGCTGCAGGAGAAGAACGACCTGCAGCTCCAAGTGCAGGCGGTGAGGCCATGTGATGATCTCTTCAGCTCTCTTCTCCCCTCCCCTGGATTATAGCCCATCTTACAACCAGGGACTCAGAATCTAGGAGTGTCCACTCTCTTTAAGATGCTGGGTCTCTCCTCTCTCTAATCATCAGCTTCCTCCCTGTCCTCTTCTTCCAGGAACAAGACAACCTCAACGATGCTGAGGAGCGCTGCGACCAGCTCATCAAGAATAAGATCCAGCTGGAGGCCAAGGTGAAGGAGATGACCGAGAGGCTGGAGGACGAGGAGGAGATGAACGCTGAGCTCACTGCCAAGAAGCGCAAGCTGGAAGATGAGTGCTCTGAGCTCAAAAAGGACATTGATGACCTGGAGCTGACACTGGCCAAGGTGGAGAAGGAGAAACATGCAACAGAGAACAAGGTGAGGGCAGCTGCCTCTGGCTCCAGCCCAGGTCTCCCCTGGATTCCCAGACCAGAGTGTGGTCCTGGTTCTGACATGAAGGTCTCCAGGATGATGACCTTTGATCCTAAAGGGGGTGGGGCTCTTGGTTGCAGGTGAAGAACCTGACAGAGGAGATGGCTGGGCTGGACGAGATCATCGCCAAGCTGACCAAGGAGAAGAAAGCTCTGCAAGAGGCCCACCAACAGGCCCTGGATGACCTTCAGGCTGAAGAGGACAAAGTCAACAGCCTGACGAAGTCTAAGGTCAAACTGGAGCAGCAGGTGGATGATGTGAGTAGTAAGAACCATGCTTCCTCTCTCAAGGTTTTGCAGGCAACATCATTGGTCCTGATCTCTAGAACTAACTTCTTTGCCCCCTGGAGCTTTTTTGCTCTCTTCAGTTTCTCACTAGGCTGAGTCTCTGAGTCATTTGCAGTCGCAGGATTTCTCTGCTGGTTTGACTTCCAATCCCACTGGACTTCAAGTTAAGAAGGGAGCAGAAGAGCGTGCACTGTGGATTCCATGTTTTCCACACTTTGCTCATTTTCTTTTCTCCACCAGCTGGAGGGGTCCCTGGAGCAGGAGAAGAAGGTGCGCATGGACCTGGAGCGAGCAAAGAGGAAGCTGGAGGGTGACCTGAAGTTGACCCAGGATGCAACAATATACCTTGGAAACATCACGTTCTTTGTAATTATCCGATGTAAACACAAAGTTCAATAACCATATTTCCATTCGTCAGGGCTTGCCTTATATATACCAGGGCTGAGTCCAGCTTTATTGTCCTTCCAGGTGACGTGTAGCAGGTGCCCTTTTCTTATCATGCCGTCGTACCTCATTTTTTCTGCCTTAACTGGTTTAACTAAAATTGGAAAATGTCCCATCTGCCATTTTGATCTCGTTGTCTGGCAGCAAGGCAAAGGAAATTTGGTGGGTCTCTTTCATCGGGGGTATAGACAGCTTTAATGGACAGTGCTGGGTGTCGCTGGCAGCAGGACAGAGAGAACCACCATGCCTCTGGCTCCCAGGATGGAGAAGGTGGGATTGTTGCCACGCTTGGGCAGCCAAGAGGAGAAGCCAAGCCCATTGCCAAGACCTGGTAAGAAGCAGCACTGTGTGTCTGAGTCCAAGAGGCCAAGAGAATTGACCAGATCTGAGGGTAGAAGAACCTTGGATAAACCAATAGTCTAGCTAAAACCCAGAAGCACATCCAAGAAGTATAGGAGGGCAAATTATTATGAAGCAGGCCCTGAGAGCACCAGAGGAGTAGAACTGTTTCTCATGTTACAGAGCAGCCTGACCATGGGCTCCAAAGTACTGAGGGGAGACTGCTCTTTCCTACTGCCACAGTGATGCCCAGAAAATGAAGGACAAAGTCTGCCCCAGTACTGAGTGCTGTGTTGCCTTGGTCACTGATGTCCAGTGTAGCTTCTGCAGCTATAAAATGGATGAACAGTACTGCCTACTCCAGGGCTTCCTATGACAAAACTGTAGACTAAAAGCACATTAACGTTTGAGTTACACTAATTGTATAGGAGACTGTGGCCTGCGCATTCTGATCTTGTCCTGTAAAGGAATCAGTAAGGCCTGGCAAGACAAAAAATACCTAGAATGCATTATATAGAATTTTTCTAGTTGACAAAATTGGTTTCAATATACATCATTGCCTCTGTCTATAAGGCGGTATTCAGTCCCATTTTACGAATAGAAGGAATCTGAGGATCAGGGAGGTAAGAGTGACTTGCCAAGGTTGTAGAGTTGATTCACATCCTGGATGCCCGTATGGGACTTAGCCCGGGATATGTGGCTGGGTTAGTACGGGAAAGGATATGAATAGAGCAGCCATAGGAAGGTGGTGCTTTTCGCCCACGCTCAACCCACAGAGGCAGAAGGGAGGGTTAAAGGAGAAGGAGGCCCATCATCTGTTCCTAGAGCAGAAAGTCCCTGAGGCAAAGCATATCAGGAAATGAAGCCTTCTAGTAGGTATGACTCTCCCCAAAATAGTTGAATTAAATAAACCTCTAGGCTCTACTAGTGAGAAGGCTGGTGGTTCCTGGAGCCTGGGGAATTGGGGTGGTTGGGTTCATGGATGCTTGAGTTCCAGATACTCTTAAGAAACCCTGAGCAGCTCCATAGCCTCAGCCACCTCAGCGCCATTGAGTTCCTCCTTGGCTGCCTTGGGAAGAAAGTCACCTGGTTTCCTCAGTTTTTCTGGCAGCTGAAGGCCAGTGCTTGCTCATCTTCAATCTTACTGTCTGCGCTGATATGTCAACTCCTTCTGGAAGAGAAGTTGTGAGTGTGGGTGACAGGTGGTCCTTCTTCCTCTGGCACATCTTCTTTTCGCTTGCATCCAGAACAGCTCCCTTCCTCCCAGAGAGTGAAGGGAGCTGTGGTCCCACTCTTATCCCAGTGACCCAAGGCAACCATGGCCACTGGACACAGCACCGGGCTCTCTCCACCAGGCCAACCCCTCCTGGCCCCATCATGTCCTACTCTTGAGCTTTTCTTCCAGCTGCAGCTTGTTCATTCTCAGTACATGATGCTC